AGCAAGCTGTGTAGTTAGGATATTTGAAGGGATATGGTCTTTTGTTTCAATCCTTCCCCTAGAGTCATACCTTAAATTTCTCAAGGTCTGGAGTTCATATACTCATGCATGTGTATTTAATAACCATTTACAGACCAGAAGCTTATTGTTTTTTAGTTGATCATATAATATGGTAAGAATTCTTCTGCCAAACTTAGTCTAAATTCTGGACAGTAGTCCAAGACCCAGAGACAGTGGGATGTGGAACATAGTGTTGGGCTTTCAAAAATGATGCAGAATTTCTAGGGAGGGTGGGTAGCTTAGTGGTTGAGCAAATGCTGAGAATGCAAAAGGTCCCAGGTTTGATCCCCAGTACTGCCCCTCCCCCCAAAAGAAAGAAAGAAAGAAAGAAAAAGACATTTCTAGCTATGTCTCTGATTTATACTGTTGTTAGAGCACTTTTCCTGGATAAAGAAAATAAGCAATTACAGGAAAATCATTTCCGGCTCATGCAGCAAGTTAGCTTCTTAGAGCGCATTATATGGAACATCCAGATTCGCAGAAAAGAGGTAAGATATGCACTTTTTATTGGGTCCTTAATCTGAATATTAGTTGCTAAGTTTGCTGTACCCTCTCTTCTCTTCAACTTCATATAGCTCTAGTTGTGCTCTTGGCTTCATGGTGGGTTGTAGCAAAGAGGCTCCTTGGCTACACATATACCAGGGTAGCAACCCCTGCAAATGCTGTTGACCAACTCTGCTCTTCATTGGGTCAGCTTTAAAACTCACTGATGTGATTCCAAAGCAATTCGTGTATGACTCTGAGCTTCTTTAACATATTATATAGTGGTTATTGCTGTTTTTCTTTTCTATCTCATTAATTCTGCAGTGAGATCCTAGAGAGCAACAACTGTAGTTCATATATTGCTGTATCTGCAGATAGATGCTCCACAGATATTTGAGAATGAATGAACGTTAAATGTTTTCATATATATGCCTCATACTCAGCAACCTTGTTCATAATGTATTACTCTAGCACATTAGGAAAGAAAGGTGAGGAAGTCTTGAGTTCAGAGAAGTTAAGTGAAACTAGCCTATTAAAGAATCAAGACAACAGAGCACCCTAGTCCAAGAAAAGCAATTATGTTCCAAAAATTCAGACAAGTAGCCAAGTTTAGAGAGAGGCAGAAAGTAATACAGGGTGAGACAAGGTCAAGAGTCTGGATGATAAGCAGGTTAGAAAGAGGGACTTCAGTAGGAAGAATTATATTCTGAATCCAAGGCAGAGGCTATTTTCTTCCTTCCCTGGTTTGTATCATTTGTAAGACATCCCTTCCCAGGATACTTAACAGTAGATCCTGCTTGTTGGGCACTATTGTTGAGAATGCACCTTTACTCTCAAAAGGGTAACTGCTTCTAAGCTATGCTAGTTGTTTTGAATAGTTCATCAAAAGTAGAATTTTCAGCTGGGTGCAGAGGCGCACACCTGTGATCTCTGCAACTGGGGAGACTGGAGGCAAGAGGATCACAAGTTCAAGGCCAGCCCAGGTAAGTTAGCAAGACCCTAAGCAGCTTAGTCTCAAAATAAAAAAGTAAAAAGGGCTGGATATATGGCTCAGTGGTTGAGTGTCCCTGGGTTCAATCTTTGGTTCCAGAAAAGAAAGAAAGAAACCAGATATAAAAGGGTACATATTATAGGATCATATGATCCCATTTATATGAAATGTCCAGAATAAGAAAATCCATAAAGTCAGCAAATATGTTAGTGATTGGCAGGAGAGAGGAATGGGAAGTGACTGCTCATGGGTGTGGGGCTTTTTTGGAGGGTGATAAAAATGTTCTGGAATCAGATAGTGTTGATGGTTGCATAAAACTGTGAATACATAGAAAAGCACTGAATCAAGCTTTTTTTTTTGTGGGAGGGGTTACTGGGAATTGAACCCAGGGTGACTTACCACTGAATTACATCCCCAGTCCATTTTAAATTTTTTGCTTTGAGACAGGATCTCACTAAGTTGCTTGGGCCTCACCAAGTGGCTGAGGCTGGCTTTGAAGTTGGAATCCTCCTGCCTCAGCTCCTAAATTGCTGTGATTACAGGCATGTGCCACCATACCCAGCTCTTCCAAGCATTTTTAAAGGGTGAACTTTGTGGTATGTGATTTATTTGTCAACAATGCTATTATAACAACAAAAAATAAGACCCTTGTATATGTTCTCCAAATATGAACAGAAGAAAGATGAAGACAGAATGTATAAAAACATGTGTGTAAAAACTAGAAAGATAGGCAGACAGAGACAGACTATGTATATAATCTATATATTATATGGATAGTTTATATAAATATATATAGCGATCAATATAGACTATATATGGGAGAGAGAGAGAGCCTGACTTACTGATAGTGTTGTTCAAGCAACTTTTCATTCTATACCCTTTTATGCTTTTTGTTGTGTGTAGTATATTCAGATATTATAGCTATATTATATATTCATATGTATAAATTCTAGAATCATACTGCCAATGGTTTATCATTGTAATATTTAACATTAGTCCATTCTTTCCTTTTAGGAAGCAACAATTAGTGACATCCCTGGACTTGATGTACTAAAGAAAATATTGCCTTTTCCAGGATCTAGGTTAGTAAAATCAATAGAGTCATCTGCATGCCCGAGAGGCATAGCTGTTAACTGGCTCTGAGTTGCTGTCTTGAGAAAGCATAGCATTGAAGAGTATTTTTCTACAATTAGTAAATGAATCTTCTCCTAACTCCTTGTCCCCTCACCAACCCTTCACCCTCATACCCCACAGAATCTTATTTAAGTAAGATGGGAGGTAACCTACAAGAATAGGTTAAAGGTAAATTTTATTTGTTTTTTTTTCTTTGTGCTTGAGAGTTGTAAAAAGCTGAAATATTATTGAAGCCACATCCCTGTAACCCCAAACTTCTACCAGGCAATTCTATTCATACAATGCCCTCACTCATGTTCTTTCTTAGTTTTTCAGGAGCACGTCTGTTAGAATCCATTGGAAATCTTCAAGGGACTAAGGAACATAAATCAGAAGCAGCAACAGGAGTTTCAAAGTCCCCTGAGTCTCTTTCATGTTCACAGAATTCTGAAACTGGATACATAGATATGGCTTTTCTGAAAGAAGCACACAGCCTAAAAAAACAAGACCAAAAGTCAGAACTATAAAATCGCTGGTGTCTAACACTATAATGATCAAACCTGCTAACTTAAAGCTTGAACGTTAAAGTGGACTATGACATGGAAGATTCCAGATTCCTCACTGTATGTCAGCCAGGAGTCTTCAAAATTGCTGATAATTCATTAAACAGTTTCTAAAAATGGATTTCTCAAGTTTGTTTTATATCCTGAGATGATTTGTATTGATCAGTACAGTGAAGTTCAATGATATAATTAGGTTTTACTTCAGAGTATATATATGGTTAATATAGCATTCTTTTCCATTATCATGGGTATTTTTAAGTTTTATTATTTAAAAGAAAAAACAATGTAATCACATTTAAGTAATTAAAAAAAAAACCTGTATAATTCCTTATTTATTTATTTATTTATTTGGTGTACCAGGGATGGAACCCAGGGGAACTTAACCACTGGGTCATATATCCAACTGGCTTTGAATTTGTAATCCTCCTGCCTCAGCCTCCCAAGCCACTGGGATTACAGGCATATGCCACTGTGCCCCATTAATCCCACATCCTTTTATTTTTTTGGTAACAGGGATTGAACTCAGGGATGCTTAACCACTGAGCCATATCCCTAGCCCTTTTTTATATTTTAGAGATAGAGATAGGGTCTGGCTAAATTGCTTTAGGGCCTTGCTGAATTCTTGAGGCTGGCCTCTAACTTGTGATACTCCTGCCTTTGCCTCTGAGTCTCTGGGATTACAAGTGTGCAGCCACCGGGCCCATGATAGATGCACTGAATTTTTATAGGTAACTCTTACTTCCTCAATCACTAGAAAGGATGATCCAAGGATACAGGAAATAATAGCTATTGTATTAAACGCGGGCTCTGACTCTGAGTCTAGCCCAAGGTAACATTTTTTTCAATCAATTCACTGGGTCTATTTAACGAAAACTTATTATATACTAGTTGATAGTAGGCAACGCAGCCTCAGCTGTGAACAAGACAGACTAGGAGAGTTTTTACTCGTGGAATTTATGTACTATTAGGGAGGAGGCTGTGTGTGGCAGGGAATGAACGATGAAGACATGTAATTTTGAACAGTTGAGCAGCAAAAAGAAAACCAGTGATCTGAGTGACAAAGGGCTTTTGTTTGGTTGCCCCTGGGCTGAGCCCTGAATTATAAGGAGCTACCCTGCCTTCCTTATAAAAGATCTCTAAGAATATTTCAGAATTAACATCTACTACCAAGACCCAAAGGAAAGCAGCGATTTTAATGACCTGGAGGAAGAGAAAGGCAGAATAGTAACTGAGGGTGAGTCATCTGAGGTGAGGCCAGACTGCAGGTGGCCAGACTGCTGCATTTAGAGCTTTGGATGGAAGAAGCTGAATTTTATTCTAAATATCAGAAGCCAGGATTTATTTCTCAGGCGCAAAGATTATTTTAAAAACCCGAGTTGCTCTATGGGAAATGAGTTTATGGCAGAACTGAAATTAGGATTCTAGTATCCTGAATTCAAGGAAGGGACAAGTACTGAGCAAGCCTTATGTGCCAAGCCGTTTTCAATACCGAGGATGAACAAAACAGAGATCCTCGTGGGTAGAACAACCTCCACGAAACAGTTGGTTTGGAGGTCCTGGCTTCAAGAGCTGAAAGCCTTGCTTATTCAAAACGCCCTGGATGTAAAGATTAATCTACACTGTACTAGTACAGCTATGTCAGTGGGAAGCCTATCGACCTTGAGCAAAAAGATGCCCAGACTTTCCTCCCCCTCCTTCCCCTCTTGCGCGCTCCTTTCCCTGGAGCGTCCCCAGCTTCCACGAGCCAACCGACTCGCGCCTCGCGTCGGGGACCGGACCCGGTCGACTTCTACTACGCCTGCGCCGAACCCTCTCCCCCGCCGCGCAGCATTGGGTTTAGTTCACCGGAAGCCAGATTTCTGCTTCCGGGTCGGAGCCATGGCGGTGGCAAATTCAAGCCCTGTCAATCCCGTAGTGTTCTTTGATGTCAGCATTGGCGGCCAGGTAAGGTACAGGCGGTCACCCAGATCTGCGCGGTCACCCAGATCTGCACGGGGCTAGCCGGGCACAGCTCACCAACCCCAGAGGGGGAGGACTTGGGAGCCAGAGTGTGAAACTGCACCGGAGCCTTCCCTCCTGCGGGGCGGGAGGGTATGAGTCTTGCCCACCCATGCACTCTGCTTCTGGAAGGACTGGGCAGGACGCAAGGTTAAGCTAGGCAGATGAAGGAGGAGGTGGAGGTGGAAGTGGGAGATGCCTTGCGGCCTGGGGATAGGGCATCTCCCGTGGACCCATCACAATCGTGCGCTGGTGCTTCACAAAGACTCCTGCCGCTTGCAGGAAGTTGGCCGCATGAAGATCGAGCTGTTTGCAGACGTTGTACCCAAGACAGCCGAGAACTTTAGGTAAGGAATAACAGAACCAGGAGCTGGACGTCCGCGGAATCACCCATCTGCCTGTGTCCACTCAATGCCCTTGAGATCTGTTTTCTCTGGGTATTGTTCTGTCGGAATGGGTACTGCTTTTCTATTGTTCTCTATCAACTTATGTTGTTAGGCATATCTATGCCTGTGTGTCTTGACATTTGGCTGTCTGGTTGGTGAGTTTGCTGGATGCACTGTCTATACCCCTTCATCCCCTCCTGAGATTAGAAGTGCACACAGCTATGATGGCATAGTGACTGAATTGTTCATCTTTTCCCTTTTAGGCAGTTCTGCACTGGAGAATTCAGGTCAGTCTCTGCCTACTTCTGAGGGTGTGTTGGGAAAACATTGGAAAGCCCTGAGTCATAGAAGAGAATATCACAGGGATCTATCCTTAGGTGTTTCTCTTTTCTTTTTTTACCTTCTATATGTCTCTTCTCCCCACTTTCTTTAGGAGAGTTCCTTTGGCTCCAGTGTGTCCTAAACTGGAAAGGCCTATGATTACCTAATATCATTCCAAGTCTCTTTCTTTTTGGTTATAGAAAAGATGGGGTGCCAATAGGATACAAAGGGAGCACCTTTCACAGGTAAGGCTTTTGGTGAGATATTCTCGGGATTTTCACAAATACAATCATCCTTTGGTATCAATGGGGGGTTGGTTCTAGAAACCCCCACATCCTTGCCCCTGGATACCAAAATCTGAGAATGTTTAAATCTCTTATTTATTCATTTTTTTCAGTACTGGGTATTTTGAGACAAGAGTCTCAATAAGTTGCTGAGGCTGTCCTTGAATTTGGGATCCCCCTGCCTTAGCTTCCTGAGTTGATGGTATTACAAGCATGTGCCACCATGTTTGCCTCATTTCTTATTTTATTTTTGGTACCAGAGATTGAACCCAGGAGTGCTTAACCACTGAACCACATGCTCAGCCCTTTTAATTTTTTATTTTGAGACAGTCTTGACAAATTGGTTAAGGCTTCACTAAGTTGCTGAGACTGCCTTTGAACTTGCAATTCACCTGTCTCAACCTCCTGAGTTGCTGGGATTATAGGTGTGCACCACTTCACCCAGTAAGTCAATATTTTTTTAAACCATAGAATCTTCTCTTAGGATCTTTTGCTCTCTGTTTTAGGGTTATAAAAGATTTCATGATTCAAGGTGGAGATTTCGTTAATGTAAGTACTGTTTCTTCCCTATCAAAGATTCATAGACACATTTTTTTTTTTTTAAATACCAGGGATTAAACCCAGGGGCACTTAACCACTGAGCCACATCCCTATCCCTTTTTATTTTATTTTATGTATTTGTTTAGTTTGAGACAGGGGTTCTTACTAAGTTGCTTAGGACCTTGCTAAGTTGTTGAGATTGACTTTGAACTTGGGATCCTCTTGCCTTAGCCTCCTGTGCTGCTGGTGGGATTACAGGTGTGCTCTACTGTGCCTGGCCATAGACTTAGTTTTTATTTTGTTATTGCTACTTTTACTACAAGAACCCAATCATCAGGTTTGAGAGCAATAACAAAGTTTGATGGGAAAAGTATAGAGATGGGGATGTATTTTAGAAGGCTGACTGCAACTGACAGTACCCTTAAATAAGAAATATCCACATTTTTATTGAGTCATTGATTTCCTTGGTCTAAACCTCAGTCTTCTGGGGATAGAAACTGAAATTGCCTGGCATACGTACAATGATCTGTGAGAGACTCATACTAATTGTTCCAATGTAACTTGGAACTCAGCTGCAATTTTTTTTTATTTTTTATTTTTTACAATTTGTTTTTTCTAAATGGAAATAAGTCTCTTTTTTCAGTGAGCTGAATGCTTATGTTTTGTTTTCCATTTCTGTCTGGAACTTTAGTGTCTGGAAAGCAGTGGGCTTTTTTGTTTGTTTGCTTGCCTTTTGATTTATTTTCTTTTTGAAAGCTGCACTTTTAATCAGTAATTGATTAGTGATCAAGGTATCAAAACAAAAAAAAGAGGTAGATAGTTTTGGGGAGATATTTATTCCATTCTTTAGATGAGCCCAACTGATTAGACTTACTGCTAACCATGATTTTCTTGTGACTATACTGTTTGTGTCCTCATATCAAGTCTTCTTCTCCACCTCAACCTTGGAAGTTGTTTGAATAAACCAGTTTTTCTTTTCTTTATGTTTTTGTTCATTTGTTTGACTTTTGGTACTGGGAATTAAACTCAGGGCCTTGCTTCTCTGAGCTACATTCCCAACCTTTTTTTGTTTTATTTTGATACAGGGTCTCACTAAGTTGTCCAGGATGGCCTTGAACTTACTATCCTCCTGCCACAGCTTCCATTGTTGTTGGGATTAAAGACATGAATAACTGTGCCTAGTTCTTTCATGAGTGGATTTTTTTGTTTATTTTGTTTTTTTGGTACTGGGGACTAAATTCAGGGGCACTCGACCACTGAGCCACATCCCCAGCCCTATTTTGTATTTTATTTAGAGACAGGGTCTCACTGAGTTGCTTAGCACCTCCCTGTTGCTGAGGCTGGCTTTAAACTCATGATCCTCCTGTCTCAGCCTCCCTAGCCGCTGGGATTATAGCCATGTACCACAGTGTCCGGCTCATAAGTGGATTTTTGTTTGTCTTTTTGGTACTGGGAATTGAATGCAGGGACACTTTATTGCTGAGCTACATCACCAGCCCTTTTTTCCTTATTTCATTGTTTTATTTTGGGACAGATTCTCACTAAGTTGCTGATACTATCCTTGAATTTACAGTCCTCTTGCCTCTTCCTCCCAAGTCACTGGGATTATAGGCATGTGCTACCATGCTCAACTTTCTCATGTTTTTTGGTTTTGGTTCTGGCACTGGGGTTGAACCCAGAGGGGCATTTACTACTGCGCCACATCTCCAGTTCTTTTATTTATTTATTTATTTATATTTTTGAGACAGGGTCTCTCTAAGTTGCTTAGGGCCTTGCAAAGTTGCTGAGACTGGCCTTGAATTTTCAGTCATCCTGCTTGAAACTCCCGAGTCACTAGGATTACAGGCATACGCCACTACTCCCAGCATCTCATGTGTTTTTAAAGACCTCTCTCTTTTCTGTGTAAGATTACAAAGTGGCAGATTTGGGGCTAAGCCATGCTTTTAAATATGTTTTAGTTCAACTGCATGGTGTTGTATTTCATCTACACTATGTTATAAAACTTCAAATTTCAAAAATATTCTGGAATTTTGTTTTCTCTTTGAAAAATGGAAAATGGCACATATCTATAAACCTAGCAGCTTAAGAGGCTGAGGCAGGAGGATTGCAAGTTCAAGACAGCCTCAGCATCTTGGAAGACTCTTTTTCAAAACAAACAATAAAAAGGGCTGGGAGTATAGTGTAGCTCTGTGGTAAAGTGCTTCTGTCAAGCCCCAGTACCCCCCCAAAAAAGGGAAAATGAGTATTCACTAGACCTGGATTTCTCATACAGTGACAATTGGTTAAAATCTAGTAACTGGTTTCTTTAGACAAGGGTATCCTTACCATTTCACCACGGTTTCCACTACCTGTTTCCCTTATATATATCACCTGCCCCTCTAGGCATTACTTTCTTCCTATAGTCTCTTGCACTGTGGGATTGTTTTATAGGGATGGGACTGGTTTCTTACTGGTCTTTGCTGCTTTGTCCCTTTCCCACCACTTGTTGATAACCCAAGGGTTGGAAAATAATTGCTCAGGCTCAGGGCTGGATTTAGAGAGAAGCAATTGCTCGGAGCCTCCCTTAGGGAAGACAAGATAGAATGAGTAAGATCCAGAAAAAGCAGGATTTAAGACCTTCTAAAGTTTGAACAAGACTATTTTTTCATTTGGTTTTTAATGATATTTATTGTTTTGTTCTGGTTACAAAAGAAAAGTGTGAAGAAGAAAATTAATCCTGCCCAATCTCCCCTCTCAGGAATATATACTGTTAACATTTTGATTTATAGCTGCTAGTCTTAATATATTAGAATATGTGTATCTACTTTTTTAAAAATTGGGTACTAGGAATTGAACCCAGGGTTCATACATGTTGTGCCACTGAGGTACATCCTCAGACTTTTTTTTATTTTTTTGAAATAGGGTCTCACTCATTTGTGCAGGTTAACCTTGAACTTGGGATTTCCTGCCTCAGCCTCCTAGGTAACTATGCCATTGAATCCAGCTGTGTGTATACCTACTTTTTTTTCCCCCCCTGGTACCCAGGATTGAACTCAGAGGCACTCGACCACTGAGCCACATCCCCAGCCCTATTTTGTATTTTATTTAGAGACAGGATATCACTGAGTTGCTTATCGCCTCGCCTGTTGCTGAGGCTGGCTTTGAACTCACGATTCTCCTGTCTCAGCCTCCTGAGCAGCTGGGATTACAGGCTTGCACCACCGCGCTTGGTTATATACTTTTTACCACACTTAAACTGACATGTCCTGTATTACCCAGGGTTCTTCAGAGAAACGGGACCAACAAAATGAATGTATATGAGTGTGTGTGTGTAAATATATATGTATGTATGTATATTATAAAAGAAGAGATTTGTTAGATTGGCTCACATAATCACAGAACCTGTAAAATTCCATGATGGCTATCTGTAAGCTAAAGAACCAGAGAAGCAGAAGCCTCACATCCAGGAACATCCAGTACACCTGCTAGTATGAGGCTGAAGGCCAGAGATCCCTTGGAGGGTTTCTAGGTGCAAAGACTGAAGAGTCCAAAGACTGAAGAACCAGGAGTCTGACACCAAAGGGCAGCAGCACAAATGAAGATGTCCCACTCAGAAAGGAAGAACAAGAGAGAGAGTTTCCCCTTTTTTTGCTTGTCTGTTCCATCTATCTAGGCCCCCAGCCATTTGGATAGTGCTTATCTACACTCAAGAGTATGTTTTCCCCATTCCCCATTGCCAATATTCTCTGGAAACACCTCCACAGTCACACCCAGCAGTAATGTTTTGCCAGTTCTCTAGGTATCCTTAGTCTGATAAAGTTAACACCAAAATCAACTATCACACCTTATTTTTCATATTTAGAAATTATCTGTCCTTTTTCTTGTCATTAAGTTTTTTTTAAAAAGCTTTGTAGCTGGGCATGGGGGTACGCACCTGAAATCCCAGCTAGTTTGGAGCCTGAGGCAGAAGGATTGCAAGTTTGAAGCCAGCTTAATGAGACCCTGTCTCAAAAAATAAAATGGGCTGTGGATGTAGCTCATGGTAGGCCTTCCTCAGTACCAACAACAACAAAAAGAGTGGAGATTTCATACTCATTAGATAAGTAAAGAAGACAAGGTTGAAGCTGGGCACTGTAGGGCATGTCTGTCATCCTAGCAGTTCGGGAGGCTGAGGTAGGAATATCTCGAGTTCAAAGCCAGCCTCAGCAAAATTGAGGAACTAAGCAACTCAGTGAGTCTCTGTCTTTAAATAAAATAGGGCTGGGGATGTGGCTTAGTGGTCGAATGCCCCTGAGTTCAATCTCCTGCACCCCCAAAAAAACTAGAAACTTGGCCCAAATTTGTTGTAGATAGGGCATTAGCTAATGCTAGGTGCTCCCTCCAAAGAAACCCTGTTTTTAAATAAAATACAAAATAGTA